AATTTTTCACAGGGTGTGCATTCATCTCACTGTTCTGCTCAGCACATCGTGACCCGTGTACTGCAACCTTTCGATTTTTTTCATGTTTCCAACCTCCCAATGGGTAGGTGTGAACAGGTGTGATGAGGTTCTGCTTCTGATTTGGGCAACTCTTCAGTTGGCACAGAAAATAAAACTGGAAACGTTTTAACTGTACTCATATCTTTGTCTTTATTGGTTCCATAATTTTCAACATTGCTCATAATTCGATCAAAACAGGTTAATTCCAGCAACAGGCCATAACTTGGGGATGTAAATTCCCTTACAAGGTCTAACGAGTTCACTGGGGTGCTCAACCAAATCCTTCCTCATCCATAGGTCTCCGGAGAGGGGTGCTCCACACCACACAGATGGTGCCACAGCATGGATGCCAGGCTCTCGGGGGTGTGTTGAATCCCTTGTCAGGACGAATTGTTTCCCTCGGCCTTGCCCTCTCGGGAACATAACTGTCCACTCTTGAATCTTGAATGTTGTCTCACCTTCCGTCTTAAGTGGGGGGTCTGGCAGCAACCCACCCACCTTTAAATTGGGGAAATCTCTGAGTAATTCTTGGCTTTTCTTGTATTCTAATTCCACGTGCCTCTCCTCTCTCTTTCTCATTCAGTTCTCTAATTCAGCCCCGAACCAACGCTCTCCCTGCTCATTTACACTTTCCTCCCACACTGTCAGTTCTTGCTCCTCCCCTTTTCCTTTTGTGCCTTCTTCCCCTTTTTCTCTTCTGACACCATTTCGCTTTTTCTCACCATTATCGCTGGTTCTTTCTCTCTTACAATATTGGTCCCATTCTCTTCCATCACAACCTCAATTACCACAGATGCCACACTGTCAGTCACTCCTCCTTTACAACAGGTATGAGAATGGTGTGGAAGTCCTGCATCTCCAAATTTCTGGCGGCAAATGTTTCTACCGGGGGTGTGTGCCTCTGGGAGTGTCCCATTTCAGTTATAATATTTCAAACTCTGCTTGGATTGCAGACTTTCAAAGACTATAATTGTAGATGCAGTGAAAGAGTCTCTGTCCCAAATATAAATTTGCTCTGCTTGGGGCAACAGGGAGGCTGAGCCATTCTCTTTAGGATTCTAATTCACTTTTAAATGTGAATTAGAGTGATATTTGGAATTATTCCCTCTCAATTTTAGTTTGTAATAGTACAGTCCAATAATAATTATAACATTTATGTACCATCAAGTTGACTCTGACTTACTGTGACCCTTGCAAGGTTTTTTAGCTATATTGTATTCAGACATAGTTTATTATTCCATCTTTTAATGGCACTCTAGGATTGTATAACTTGTCCAAGACCCTAGCAGGGCACATAACCTGATCGACCAAACACACTCCAGGTACTGATGCTTCTCCTTCAGTACACAACAGAGATTCAAACTCCTAGACTTCTGGTTCTGCACTGGTACTCCACTGCACTAGCTATATCAGCCCAAAAACTCCCTTTAATAACTCATTACTTCTTAAGAGTTGAATGCATATACTCAATCCTGTGTTCACCTGTGATGGAATAATGAAAGATGTGATCTCAAACACACTTACTAAGGAACAGATGTCACTGAATCAATCAGACATTATTTCTGAAGTAGTTATTTTTTGTAAGAGTCTTACTCTAAGATTAAGAAAAAATGCACAGTGATTCACACATCTTTCCAAGGTAGTTGTGAGTATCATGGATGCTTTTACAGATCATCTTTAGAAATGACTGAACCAATAATAATTAAAATTAAAAAGCTACCCCTCTGAGTCAGTTTCATTCAGACCAGTCAAATGCATGTTATAGCACAAGTGAATACAATTCAAGTAATAATACATATAACCTCAGTAGAAAGTAAGCCACAAGTTCCTGGAAATCTCTTCCTCCTCCTCTGCTGTAAATGCATGGTTTTCTACCATTTAATACTGATGTAAGACTGCAGCACAGATTTACTGCTAGCCTTCAGGCCAATTTCTCCTGAAATTACAATCTGGCTAATAAGAGGCTGATTCAGAATAACTGCAGATAAAATATTGTGTGTGTAACATGGGCATATAGCTACCATTGTTAGTATCAATTAATTCTGCTCACAGAGGAGGACTTGTTTTAAAACAACTTCATTTTTTTCCATAGCATACATGTAATTACACAGCTGTAACTAATAGCCATGGAGAAGCAATCTGCCACATAAACAACTAGCATTATTCTTCAAAGTATTACTTGCACTTTCTTCTTTTATTTTGGCACTGTAAGTGAGGGATTATTAGGGATGATTAAATGTATACATCAAGCTTTTTAGATGATTAAATATACATGATTATATATATAAAGCTTTTTATCAACCTTTGTGGATTTGGAATCTTATGAATTGCAGCAGTTCTTGTATAATTTATATTCCAAAACACAGGATATTTTTTCTACCTTTATGTCCTAGAATATATTGATATACCTTTCTCCATCTCTAATATGGCACTGTTTAATTCTGCATAAGAATTTTCTTCCTTTTCCTAAAACAGTGGTTCTTAACGTGGGCGATAATGCCCTCCGGGGGGCGATTTCATTTTTCAGGGGGGCAGTAGAACAAAAAGGGGCAGCGTGGGGGCGCTGGAGCAGAAGGGGGGCGGGAGGGGGGCGCTGGAGCAAGCCAAACCTGTGAAGATGGATGCAGCCTTTTTACAGTGTGCATGAATATATATTTTCCTCCAATCTTAATTTAGTTTCAGAG